GACATGTACATTAGCCATTACCCATAATGCTTAGAGCTGGTTGGGGCCAGAAGTATAAGTTAGGACAATATTTTCTAGTATGTTGGGCCAAGAATCAATAAGAGAAGTAGTGGAAGACTACACTTTTTAGTATTTTTTTTTACTATCTATAACTTCTTTACATTTTAGTTAACGTTTAAGAACTATGGAAGCCCGTTTCCGCCATGTAAAAAATAAATAAAAACCCTACAGAAAGTCAAAATTACAACTTTAAAACTCAAAATTTTGACTTTAAAAGTCAAAATGACGAGTTTTCAACTGCGCATGTGCAGTTGAAAACTCGTATGTGTCGTTGTCTGGAACGGTCTCTGGTCATCCCTATTATAGATCCATGACCATGGGTCATCCTCTACCTGCAGATTATGTGAAGATTTTGCCTACAGACAGTGACCACATCCATGAAGTAGCAGCAATAATTGTTGTGGTAGTAATCGCGTTAAAATGCAAACGGTCTCTCCGTTTATGATTAGAATCCGCTTCAGGAGCCTCTATTTAATTTATCCTAAACGGACTGTGGAAGATTAATAATAAAACACATGCGGCTGTTCAAAGTCATTGAGCATCAACTGGTGACGTCTGGTCAGTATCATTGCTATCGATGGATGCACCAGAAATGCACTGAATGATATTGTGACTGACAGAGAGACCGTTCGAGATTACTGGACAGTGAGGGAGGTCCGCAGACAGAGGCAGGAGAACCACAGTCATGGGCACTGACAATGTTACCCTTTTGGAATTGCGATCAGTGCATTGAAGAGTATGTGACGTGTTTGCGTGCACGCGGCCGAAACGTGAGCGCGCTCTGGGGTGAGCTGATGGAGCGAGCGTGCGAGTAAAGTTCTTGGCGTATGAGCAAGAACACAGAGAGACATGATTCTTTTATTGTGACAAAATAAAGCCCACGACTCTTTTAGCAACAATCCGGAGAAATAACTCCGCAGATAACAGTGAGGGTCTTTGAAAAGGGAGTAAAACCCATTATAGATGCATGAATAAAACCCCGTACACAACACGTAGAAAGCGCATCCTTTCAGCCGTGGAAAGACTCGCTCCGTGTGGACCCCTCTCAGCGCCATCGTCTGGTCAGAGTGGTCTATAGCAGATTGGATTGGAATGTCTCAATGGCTCATTTTCCTTTGATTTATTATAAAAACGTATTGCTCACATTATTTGTTACTGTGTCGAAATAAGAAGTCGTTTGATTTAAATGTTGTATATATCTAAATTGAATTTAACATAAATAAATAAAAAGACAGCTCCTCCCTGCGTCCTACGACCACGGTCTGGGGCTTAAACATGAAAGTTTTACAGAATCAATCAAACAACATTATTTCTGGCTACTTCAAGGATGCAGTGGTCACTGTCGGCAATATCTTCATAATCTGCAGGTCAAGGATGTCCAGAGACCGTTCCAGACAACAACACATACGAGTTTTCAACTGCACATGCGCAGTTGAAAACTCGTAATAGTCAAAATGTTCTTTTTTTTACATGGCGGAAACGGGCTTCCATGAAGAACAGATACAATTATGGTTGTTTTCCAGAGACAATAGGCTTGTTTTAAAATAAAGTATAACATGCCATACAGTGCAAAAAATGATCAAATATGGTGTTTATTTATCTTAGCTTGAGCACATTCTGACTGAAAAAACAAGATTTACCAATGGGACTGTTGCCTTATTTTCTCATTCAAACTGAGACATTTCTTGTAACTTTTTAAAACAAGATCATTTTGCTTTCTCCCATTGGCAAATCTTGTCAGAATGTACTCAAATTAAGATACATTTTGCCAAATTTGAGCCATTTTTGACTTACTTTTCATCACTTTTTGCAGTGTTGTAGCCCATTACCATCAATATTGCGATGTATCATATACGGGCCCACTAAAGATTGCCTCGCAGGCCCGATTTGGCGCACGGGCCTGACTTTGACCTGCCTGCTGTAGATTGTATTCATCCGGTTACACGCACTCGGTGAACTCCTGCTGATGCATCTTCCAACGCCACATAGTTTATCTGTCTTGTCAACGAATCTTCTCCCATTGCTACAGTTTAATTTATTCGGCACATGTTTCCCAACTGTTGCAACACACTCTTGTAATCTTCTCATTTTGACTCCATCTGATTTCTACAGCCTTTATTGGAACTGCCACAAACACGTCTCGGCCGATTGAAAAACATCCGGCTTTTAATCTGTCCTCGTTTCCTCTCGGACAGATTTGAAATAAATAATGTCAAGTATAAACTGCTCGGACTGTCGCAATCCAATTCCACCAGCGGGAATGTCACCTCTTTGAGTCGTCTCTCTGTGAACACTGAAGGGAAGAGATTGTTTTAGAGCAAAGTGCAAATGAACGATGCCAAAGGGAAGTTGGTGCAGAGAAGGTTTCAAGTGGATCAGGCTTAAGTTTGTTTTGTTTTTATTGGATCTCACGTGTGTCAAACCTCTACGACTTAATAAACATCTGCCAATCTGAAATCATGTAGAAGGCTGTGTACTCTGTGTCGGATTAAGATGAAGTGGGGGAAATGTCAGTGTTGCATCAGCAGTTGGAATGAGGAGCACACAGCACAAGCTAAGTCACCAATAATAGGTGGCGACAGTGGCTCAGTTGGTAGAGCATTGGTCTTTGGACCTAATGGTCGTGGGTTCGATCCTAACCCATGTCACCTGCTCCCACTGATATCTGCTGTCGCTGGGCAAGACAATTAACCCCACTTTGCCTGAAGTCCCCGCTGAAATACCATGGCCGTATCTTCGTTGAAGGAGCAACCGTCTGCTTGTGGACGCACCACCTCCAGGAGAATCAGCGAGGGGGTGGTGCTTTTTGAATTGGGTGGCAGCTCTATTTGCCACTCTCCCGACCCAAAAATGGATAAATAAAGGGGATGACAATGATGGCACTTGGATAATAAAGAAGCAAGTATAAAATCTCTATCTTTAGCATTATAAAGACTTTGAAATTTATATTGCAATACATTTGAAACACCAAAGCACTTGACCGTAACCGAAAAACCCATAGTGCAAATAAAAACAATCAAATAAAAAGCGACGTACCTAAAGAAGTTTAAAAAGAGAAAAGTTTGAATCAACAATTCTCAGTCCAAATTAGGCACAGTACAAAACCACTCTGTTGTTATCAAATTATCTCTTCGCAATCTCACTTTGAGGAAAACCAGTGAGAATTATACCTTTTATCTGACGAGTCTATGTTTGAAGATGTGGTTTAGAAAGACTTTGAAATGCAGCACCAGCAACAGAATCCTCACACCGCCGAATCCTGCACAGGATTAAAACTTGTGCATTCGTGCAATCATTTTAAATAATGTCAGAATGTGCAATATAGAACTTTGTCATGTATGCAGTACTATATTTGCTTCTTCATTATGCCAAAGTTAGGGATGTTATTGTGTTTTAGTTTAGAGTTATAGTTCATTTATCTTGTGCTGTGTGCTCCTCATTCCTACCGTTATACTGGTGATCCAACACTGACATTTCCTCAAAGGATCTCTTCATCTTTTTGAGAGAGTTGCCGGTCCAGAGAGAGTGGAAATGCATTTGAATGGAAAGGAAAGGGTGGATTTCTGCGGTGTTTATTTAAATGGACAAATTCAACTCAGTAAAAATTCAGTCTTTAAACACGTATTACACAATCTCGCCGCCACAATCTGTTTATAGCAACCAAAAACCAAAGTGATAATAACTTCTTGATTCTTCCCTCCATCCATCAACCCCTGACATGTCTTTGCATTTACTAAACAAAAGCTGTTTTTGTCAGAGAACGAGTGTTTTTGCGGAGATGCTCAGGTCCATTCAGCACCTGTCACACGCGCTCTGGGCCTCTGCTCTTTTCTTCTCTGTGAGGCTCGGCCAATTATATCTCGTGTGAAAAGGGGAATTAGAGTCCGTTTGGAGATGGGCGTGTATCAACAGGACGAGTCGGAGCGTGTATTTTTCGACTCAGATGTTGGACAGGAAAGAAAAACCACAAGATGCATAACTATCTCTGCAAGAGGTTTGTGGTTGAAACATATTCACCTCTCTGACATTTGGAATAGGAAACGTCAAAACAAAACTTGGGTCCAATCTAGAGCATATTCCCGAAACCTTTTGTCGAGAGACTATATGGATTTTTGGCAGCTGATACCGATTTTTTTACTGGTTGAAAATTGCAGATTTCATAATATAATTGAATAATATATATATTCTAAGGTATATTTTTCTTGATTTCAGATTGTTACTGTAATGTTTTTTTTATTGTGAAATACTATGCGAGCTACGGTGACAACGCATTTTCCCTTGTGGATCAATAAAGTCTGTCCATCCATCCATCCATCCTCTTCCCCTTAATCCATTTCCGGGTCGGGGGTGGCAGTCAGAGCTGCACCCAGTACACAGAGCACCAGCCCCTCACTGATCCTCCTGCAGGTGCTGAGTCCACAGGAGCCTTGATTCATCAGTGGGAGTCGGTGGAGAAGGTCTCGTGGTGGGCTCGAGTCCACGACCTTCGGGCTCAAAGGCCAATGCTCTACCAACTGAGCCACTGTCGCCCCAAGGGTTTTTTAATAATTCATCTTTTGTTAAATCTTTTGTGCTTTTTTACATCATCTAGTTATTTTGAGTAATTTGAGTAATTTGAGTAAAAATAAGTAATTTCTATATTTTTTGTTTATATATAGGCTTTGGATATTCTTTTTGGCCGGTTTTTATTAATGAAATTATTACATGATTTATTAATAAAATGATTTGCAGATTTATTTACAAGCATACAGATGAATAATTGTGTTTTTGGAGTTAATTGTTGGGAGTAAAATGAAGGATGTGGCTGTTTTCACGAGAACATTTGATAAAAACATTTGCCATGGTAGAATATTGGGGGTTTAGGGCCAATATTTTTAAAAGCAGCTGAAATATCGGTTGACCTCTCATTTGTCTAACGATGGTTGTGTGTGTGTGTGTAGGTTTGCGTGCTCTGAGGCGAGCTCTCGGAGGATCCTCTGGTCTGTCGGATCAGGAGCTGAAGGCCACAGTGAGAGTGACGCTGCAGGACCTGAAGTGGGCCATGTCTGTGGTGAAGCCCAGTGCTATGAGGGAGGTGGCCATCCAAGTTCCCACGGTAACGCCAGTCATTATTGACCGTTATTCAGATTCAGTTTACTTGTCATTTTCAGTAAAACCACATTGGGCTACATGTGCAACGGACAATTACATAAATAAAACAAACAAAAAAGTACAGGATTCAAAATATGTATTTTGCTTTCTCCGACATTTGAAATTGTGCCACCTGCCTGTGAAAGCCAAATCCAGTCACATCTCTGAAGATAAGAAGGGCAGGGCCTGGTTAGTACTGTGATGGGAGACCTCTGGGAACATGAGGTGCCACAGAGGGGCGGCTGCGGCTGTAAAGTGCCGTCGTGTACTTAGGCAAGACTTTTCTCCCACATTAGCAATGATGGTTGGAAGGGCGGATGGCACATACTCGCTTCTGTGTGCCCCAGGGCAGCTGTGGCTACTGTAGTAGTTTATCACCACTGTATATGGAGTGAAAGTGAAATAATGCCATGTGCAGCACCTTTGAGTGTCCAAAGTACAATGCTATTATTATGGGGTCACATATTTTAAAGATCATGATTAATACTAATTATTAATGACTTTTTAAAAATCCCAATAATGCATTCAGAATTTCACTCTGAACCAGAGCAGAGAAAATGGTCTCAACCAAGCAGACACTACAGACATCAGACAGAGGAAGCAGCTCATCACCGGCGACCTGTCCTGCTCCATCTATCTAATCAGACCAGATACCAGTTGTGTGCCCCTATGAAACCAACATCACCCACCTGGTCATCATGGTGAGGTTCCATACTGCGCTTTGTCACTTTGGACCAGTTTGTCACCATCCTGAACCAGTGGCATCAACTCGTGGCTCCCTTAGAGATGGATGATGAACTTGGTCATATGGAAAGGGCTCGGAGTAGAGCCACTGCTCCTCCACGTTGACACCTCGGGCTTCCCCCAGAGGAGCTTTGTCCTCTCTGCTCACATTGCTGCCTGTGTAGTGTAGAAATAAAACCAGCCAAAAAATCCGAAACAATTGTGACTGTGAAATGATGAACAATGAAAGTGCTTTGCTTGAACTGATAACAGCTTGTGGAAAGAAGCTGTTAGCAAATCGAGACGACGTGCATAGTGTTCTGTACATGTAACTACTCTAGTCGCTATTATTTCATACGATTGAAATGTGTGCAGCTGACCCAAAACAACAACAATGACTCCAGTATTTGTAATCAGTTCCCCTCAGTCCCTCTGGCCTGTGGAGGAAGTGGGGTGGTTTACATCATGCTGTCCCTGCCCCATCAAAAACACCAAAACAAATTCCCCAAGCAAAAAAACAGCCACAAGAAACAGTCATCTCTACTCCCTCTGCACTCACGCGTACTCCCCAGAACTCTCCGGACCCGCGACGCTCAGGCTGAGTGGCTGTGGACAAGCCGGACGTGATGAATGATCCCGGACCAACACAAAGAGAGAAAGAATGAGGGGTGAGGGGATGGGGGGGGGGAGTGGAGTGCAGAGCGAGGAGTGCAGGATGTTTTGGAATTTGCATGTGCAAGACATAACGGACAGGAAGAGGGCTCACATCATCCTGCACCGGTAATTGAAAGCAGATCTATGATGGTTCCTGCCAATGTGTGCAGAAAAAAAAGTATGTCCTCCCTCCCTCCCTCTGCCGCACTCTGCTCACAGCACAACGTCTGGTTCAGTATCAACAAACATGGAAATGGGAGTGAGTTTCTGAACAGTTTTAGAATAATTGAGAAGAACCTTTTGTATCCATGGGCTTTGATATTGATAGATAGAAAGATAGATACTTTATTGATCTTTGTACATCCATGCAAACAAATAAATACATCATTCTAAGAGTGTAATAACGATAATAATAAAGTACAATAGCACATTAGGTTTTAGCAACAAAGGTGGTGGAGCAGGACAGGTCATAGTAGAGAATAGTGACCATAGTTACCATAGCAACACTATCATTTGGTGTATTTCAGGTGTTTTCTCTATTTTTAGCACTTATTCAAAGGGACGAAAGGTACAGACTGAACGTTTTTTGGGGAATTTCTCAGAATCCCATTGGTTTGAATGGGAGCAGTCAAAATGACAGCTCTGGAGTTCTAGTAGTTTCAACCCTTGTGTTAACCTTTCTGGAGGAGATGCCACTGCCTGATTGATTGTAATGTATTCTGAGTATTATGAGAGTGTGATGTATCTGAGCCCATCCATCTTGCACATAATTATTCTATTACAGTTTAAATTCTTATATTGTGTAAAAAAGTTTCTGCCATTGGGCCGACCTCTCCCCAGATCTGATACGTAGCTTGGCCTCCAGGACGTCACCGCGTCTCTAGTTAATCTAAATACCTATACTGACAAACACTTCTTCATCTATAGCTTCTATAGCTTTATAGTTTTGAGCAGGAAACCTGATGCAACTTGTTGTTTGTTTATTGCAGCAGCTGATGCATCAGCTAAAGACAGACAGCGCCTCTGACCAATCACAATTGACTGGTGAAAAGTTGACAATTAAAAAAGTACCGAGCAGCGGCTAAAACGAGACCAAGGAAACGCCCGCAAACCGGGGGGGGGGGATGTTGAGTTGAGTTGAGCTGTAAACCTTCTGTCACGAAAATTAGCCTGTAGCTATGTCCGGTCTGAACAATATATTTATTGTGCAATGTCCCTGTCAAATAAACAAATAAATAAATAGATGAATAGTTGAGCTGGTGGAAACGGCCCTTATCTCTGCTCTTTAGCTTGAGTTCTGGAGATATGACAGTGCCTTTCATTCTTTTTATGTGTTTTCCCTCTGATGTTCTCTGGAGTCCAGCCGCTGAACACCAGACCTGATTACAACTGCATGAGTGCAAACATTTGTTTCTAATCTACTTTATAAGACACTTCTGCCGGACATATCCGCGCACACACCTCTAGATCTCTCCAGTCACGTACAACACAACACGAGCGCCGCAGTTCTCATCAGTCGCAGCCTTCCATCTTTTAATTGGACTTGTTTTAATATTTTCCACCGTCTTCATCCGTAGAAGTCCCCTGCTCCTTCCTCTCCACCACATGAAAGCAGCTCAGCCTGAGAGGTCCTTGTAAAGTTCAGAACACAACTGTAAAAGATAATAACTAGGTCTGGTGCTGAAGGGAGGGAGGGGAGGGAAGGGGGGGGGGGGGGGGGGGTACAGCGAGGTGTGAGTCAAACTGTAAGCTCCACATTCTATTAACACATCGTCAGAGATGGAATGTGGAGTTTTTTGTTATCGTTCTTGTTCTCGTCTTAGCACAGACATTCTTAACTAATACTAATATATACAGTGACCAATGGTGGCTTGGTTATCTGCCCCAGCAGTTGATAGTAGTGAGGTGGGATGGATGCACAAGAGGATATTTGGCCGCATAAAAGTCTGATCACCATCTTCACGAGTTCCAGGAGGTGTGACCTGTTTGCCAAGACCAGGTTTGTCTTGGCATTCATGTCTGTGGAGAAAGTGGAATTCTGTTCAAACCATTTGTTGGGACAGCGTCAAAACTTGAAACTTTACCACTGTCATTTGTGATCAACTTTACAGCAGACAATTGAAAGTGCAGTCAGTCTGGCAAGGCACATTTATTTGTATAGCACAGTTCATACACAAGGCAACTCAAAATGTGGAACAAGAAACAATCACACAAGGCATTAAAATAATAAATACTCTCAGTACATTAAAAAGAGTGCAAACACTAAGTTTGAGAACTGTATCCATTCATCATCTCCTGCAGAGTCTGCATCAGGCTCCTTACTTCCTGCTACATTACAGGCTTTACTCCTCTGGGCCATACACATGATTCATTTGGCTGTAAAAGAATGTCTAAAAAGGCTGTGTTTGCCCAGTCAATCATTTGACATTGGACTGCTTCTGCTGGTAGTAAATCTTACTAGAAAATGGCAAATATGTGGCGTGTGTCCTTCAGGTGAGACAAATGTGTTTTACTTACTTAATAAAACAAAATCTTAAGACTACATTTCAATCCAACCGATTTTGACATAATAATGCTTACTATTTTTGAGCTTTAGAACTATTAGAATTCCTGAATTCCTGCCCTAAATAATAACAGTAGTTATCTGGGAGGACTTAACAAAGCTGTCAAATCGCCAACATAGATCAGAGAATTAAACCGTTCAAACACGGGAAATGCAATGATTAAAAAAACACATAGAGCCATTGGTCCATAAGGGGCAGAGACCAATGTTCATAAATGTTGATAAAGTCCATAAATATAGTTGAATTTGGAGTGTCTTAGATCATCACCACTGTCCTGAGACACTCCTGAATCACCAAGGAACAAGTCAAACCAACCAAAAAACCAAAAGCTTCCATGGCCATTTTCTTTCGTTTTCTTTGAACTTAAAGGCAAAGTATAATGGCCTAGCATGACAGAGCCAGTATGACTTAAGTTTTAGCAAAGTCACCAATGAAATGCCAGTCCATTCACTCACTTCCTTTGAGGCTCATATCATAGCATTATGCTCTTTAACCATGGCTTGTATCTGCTTATTCTATTTCATTACTCATTAGTGGTCTGAATCAGTCTTCTGGCTCATTTGGCTGCTTCCGATCTATCTCCTCTCCCCTTCACTCCCTCCTCTCCATCCGTCCGCTCCCCGTCTTAGCACTGTCCATAAATTGTTGGGTATTTACAGTACGTGGCCTGACGCCAGCTTTCCATTAGGTGCTGTGTTCCCTGGAGACGGCCTGGTATATGTTACCTCTGCATGAGGAGAGAGGGAGGAAATGGGGGGGGGAGAGCAGAAAAGATGAAATGCTAGAAGAGTAATAGCAGAGGATGAGATCGCAAATGCCAGCCGGAAATGTAACAGGCAAAACAAAAGGCAACAAAATACTTGATAAAACAAAACTTGTGTATTGGCTTTCAAGCTCCTGTCTTTTTGACGGCTCCCTTCAAAATAATGGATTTCTGAAAAAATCTCCCCAAAAAAGTTCAAAAATGTATTAATTTTCCTCCCCTTTTAGTCCATTTCTGGGTCAGGGGCAATCAGCTGCCACTCACTGATCCTCTGGCAGGTGGTGAATCCACAGGAAGTTTGCTGATCCATAAACAAGGGCACGTGCTTGGTGTTTCTGCCCAGTGTCTTGTTCAGGGACACATTGACAGCAGACATCAGTGGGAGCAGCAAAAAGTTTTTTGCATTACTTTTATAAATAAACTTCCTTTGGCAAGCTCCATTGCTATTCTAAATGTGCTTGTCATGCTGCAATCAACGGGAGTAAACCCCATCCATCCATTTTCTTCCCCTTGATCCATTTTTGGGTCGGGGAGTGCACCTAATTCACAGAGCACCAGCCCCTCACTGATCCTCCTGCAGGTGGTGAGTCCACAGGAGGACGGCTGCTCTGTTGGTGACCACATAGCCTGGATCTTCCAGCTGGGGCTTCAGGCTTGAACCCACAACCTGCTCTACCAACTGAGCCACTGTCGCCCATGGCCCTGGCCAGTCAACTGAACAAAACCAAAAGGTTCTGCATATGTGCACGAGACTTGATTTGTTTTGTTCTTATTAATAAATACAATAACTGACACAAGCGCAGTGGTTAGTGCAAGTAGGTCCTGGATTTGATTCAGTGTGTTCGGCGTCTCGCTTCTGCCAGGGAGTAAAAGGAAATTACTGTAGCACCCAATATTGTCAAGCGATTGGTGTGACCTTGGTCAAGTGGTCTCCAACCTTTTTCTATTGGAGAGTAAGTAAGTAAGTAAGTAAGTAATCTTTATTTATATACCGCCTTTCACAGACCAAAGTCACAAAGCGGTTTACAATTGTTATTTTTTTATTTTTTTTTTCAGTCACAGAAATGGCAGAGAGCTACTCCCTTTAGCAGTCGTTATACAGTCCCTGCATTCATGAAAAGATTTATAGTTATAAATCAACATGGTAAGACTCAAAAGTGAACGATTCGCAATCATGTGTTTAATCCTTGAATCCTTTGAGAATCTACATGAAAGAGGTTGGCCTGTGAAATGGACTATATAAATAATGATTCCTTACTTTCAAGTGAAACCAGGACATTCCCCGAACCGTGTCAGTCCAGAATACACGTGTCTTCCTGATTCACTCTGTAACCTGATTTCGGCCTCTGTGTGCATGTAAACACAGTCAATGAGAGCCCAGTGAGATAAGAAGCAGATACTGGGATAAGAGACAGCAGAGGTGCGCAGACAGTCGACTTAAAAGGCCAGGAATCGGCGTGTAATAAAGACTTGGACAGGCAGGCTGATAGAGAGGTTTCTGACGCACCCACAGCAGAAGTTTCTTACCTTATCTGCTTAATATCCTCCTGTTGATCGCTGCTGCACTCCCTTCCTCCCGCCTGGGCTCGCTCCATTCGTCAGCCGGACACATCTTGGCCCACTCCCCAAAACCAGCAGCTCTCCACGGCTCAAACCAAGCTATTTAATCTAGGCATCTTTCGCAGTCTATGTTTCTGTCATCGTTTTGGAGGGAGAGAAGTCAGTTTTTTGCTGTGCATCGAAGAGTTGAAATGGTGTTTGTTGTTGGTTACACAGAGAAGTAAGGATGACGTCAGTGTGCAATCATCTTTTTCTGGGTTGAATGCGTCCCGTATTGGCACTGTTCAGAGTTTTGAACTACACAATCTGCTTGTATCTTACTGCATCATATCATAATCAAGTGCTATAGTTGTACTTGGCTGTCTGCTTAAGCCTTTCAAGAATCTGGAATATAATGGGCTTTGTTTACTACCACTACAATGAGACTCAGTCATCTCTAAACTAAATCGCATCGGGTGCAAAAAGTTGTATTTCACTGTGCAAGAATGAGCCAACGCTTATATGAAGTCATGTTTTTTTTTTTTCATTGCATCATTAAAATTTTCTCTAAAACTGGACAATATTTATATAAACTACTATGTCTCAAAACTGACAATGCTCACCCCCCTCAGTGTACCATCCTTGGTTTCAAATACACTGCTGTATGGGGGTTGTAGCATCATGCTGTGGAGATGTTTTTCTTCAGCAGGGACAAGAAAGAGAGTTGTGTAAACATTCACTGCAAAAAGTGATGAAATATAAGTCAAAAACTGCTCAAATTTGGCAAATATGTCTTAATCTGGGCACATTCTGACTGGCCTAAAACAAGATTTGCCAATGGGACAGAGAAAAATTATATATTTTTTAGAAAGATACAAGAAATGTCTCTCTTGGAATGAGAAAATAATGCAACAGTTCTTGAAATAAGACAAAATGGCTTTGTCCCTTTGGTACATCTTTTTTTAAATCAGTCAGAATGTGCTCAAATTAAGATAAAAAACACTTGATTCAAGCAATTATTATTGGACAGAAAGCTTCTGGAGCTGGGGATTCTACACAGTACTAACTCATGGTGCATGATTACTTGTGCAAACACCACTTTTTAATAAACAACATGTATAACGTTGTTTCACTTTACAGTTGTCTGTTACTTTGTTGTGGTCTTACAGTAAAATATCAAAAATAAAATATTGATGTTTGTGGTTGTAACATGATGACATGTGCTTGTATTAAAACTTGTTTTAATACAAGTACAAGGCGCTTTATGCCATTTATTCTGCAAAGTTTTTTCAGTGCCTATCCATCTTTTGAAGGCTACATGAGAACATTGTTGACATCACTTTCCAATCAGAGCTGCTTTTGCTTGGTTGCTTCCATTGTTGGCAGTGAGTTTTGTTTTGAAGTAAAGATTAGGTCTTGTCATACTTTATTAAAGATAACAAAGCCAAGCCTTGACATTTCTGCAGAAATGTCTATAAAAAAAAAAAAAAATGTTTTTTGCTTTTATTGCCAAATGCAGTATCTACTGAGAACTGTGAATGAACTCTGTATTCTGTGTGTCCAGGTGCGGTGGTCAGATATCGGAGGCATGGAGGAGGTGAAGCTCAAACTGAAGCAGGCTGTGGAGTGGCCCCTGAGGCACCCTGAGGCCTTCACTCGGATGGGCATCCAGCCTCCTAAAGGAGTGTTGCTGTACGGGCCTCCAGGCTGCTCCAAGACCATGATCGCCAAGGCTCTGGCCAACGAAAGCGGACTCAACTTTTTGGCTATCAAAGTAAGTGTGGGGCTGGGGATTTGGTTTGGGCTGTGAGTTTATTTGTAGACCACAATAAAGAACAGTAATTATTATATTATTATTATAACAGTTTTACATAGTATGGAGGGTGTGCTGAAATAGAATAAACAAATAGACTTGAGGTACGACTTTCTAGTAAATGTCCCTGGATTTTTTAATTTGCCTGTTTTTAACATCAATAACATGACCAAACCCTGTGACAAAATCATCATTAAAACACATCATAAGTGTGAAATAATAAGCAACAATAAGATACATCGAGAACATCTGAGGAAACGCAACAGCAGAAGATAAAATGGTATAAAAGTGTCCATGGAAACCGCAAATACAGTGGGGCAAAAAAGTATTTAGTCAGCCACCGATTGTGCAAGTTCTTCCACTTAAAACAATGACAGAGGTGTCTAATTTTCATCATAGGTACACTTCAACTGTGAGAGACTGAATGTGAAAAAAAAAATCCAGAAATTCACATTTAAAAAAAATTTATTTGTAAATTATGGTGGAAAATAAGTATTTGGTCACTTCAAACAAGGAAGATCTCTGGCTCTCACAGACCTGTAACTTCTTCTTTAAGAAGCTCTTCTGTCCTCCACTCGTTACCTGTATTAATGGCACTTGTTTGAACTCGTCATCTGTCTAAAAGACACCTGTCCACAGCCTCAGTCAGACTCCAAACTCCACTATGGCCAAGACCAAAGAGCTGTCGAAGGACACCAGGAAAAGAATAGTAGACCTGCACCAGACTGGGAAGAGTGAATCTACAATAGGCAAGCAGCTTGGTGTGAACAAATCAACTGTGGAAGCAATTATCAGAAAATGGAAGACATACAAGACCACTGATAATCTCCCTCGATCTGGGGCTCCACGCAAGATCTCATCCCGTGGGGTCAAAATTATCAAAATGATCAAATATCCCAGAACCACACGGGGGGACCTGGTGAATGACCTGCAGAGAGCTGGGACCAAAGTAACAAAGGTTACCATCAGTAACACACTACGACGACAGGGAATCAAATCCTGCAGTGCCAGACGTGTCCCCCTGCTGAAGCCAGTGCATGTCCAGGCCCGTCTGAAGTTTGCCAGAGAGCACATGGATGATACAGCAGAGGATTGGGAGAATGTCATGTGGTCAGATGAAACCAAAGTAGAACTGTTTGGTATAAACTCAACTCGTCGTGTTTGGAGGAAGAAGAATACTGAGTTGCATCCCAAGAACACCATAACTACTGTGAAGTATGGGGGTGGAAACGTCATGCTTTGGGGCTGTTTTTCTGCTAAGGGGACAGGACGACTGACACGTGTTAAGGAAAGAATGAATGTGGCCATGTATCGTGAGATTTTGAGCCAAAACCTCCTTCCATCAGTGAGAGCTTTGAAGATGAAACGTGGCTGGCTCTTCCAGCATGACAATGATCCCAAACACACCGCCCGGGCAACGAAGGAGTGGCTCCGTAAGAAGCATTTGAAGGTCCTGGAGTGGCCTAGCCAGTCTCCAGACCTCAACCCCATTGAAAATCTGTGGAGGGAGTTGAAAGTCCGTGTTCACTGCTATTGAGAAGATCTGCTTGGAGGAATGGGCCAAAATACCAGCTACTGCGTGTGCAAACCTGGTAAAGACCTATAGTAATCGTTTGACCTTTGTTATTGCCAACAAAGGTTATATTACAAAGTATTGAGTTGAATTTTTGTTATTGACCAAATACTTATTTTCCACCATAATTTACAAATAAATTCTTTAAAAATCCTACAATGTGAATTCCTGGATTTTTTTTTTCAGATTCTGTTTCTCACAGTTGAAGTGTTCCTATGATGAAAATTACAGACCTCTGTCATCATTTCAAGTGGAAAAACTTGCACCATCGGTGGCTGACTAAATACTTTTTTGCCCCACTGTATGTGTTATAATTATCAAGGAGATTTATTTGGTTTCATTTGGATAAGAGTGCACATCAAATCCACTTATTTAGGCCATAATTAAGTACACACGTAGGCAAATATTTACATGAAGAAATATTTAAATGAAGAAATATTTAAATCTGTTTAAAGTAAAATTACGTTCACACATCAAATCCTCACAAACTGTTGTGTTTGTACCACTGATCACGGTGGTGCACTTGCAGGCGTGTAGTCAGAAATGTTTGTCTAATAATCCAACCTCAGACATGCTGTGATTGACACAAACTCAGTAGTACACAAGTTTGTTTGTGGATTTTTGGGCCTAAACTCTTGTGCTTTAGTCGCACTGTTGACTTAAGCAATTGTTTTCATTTTTGAGCAAGTCTTGTGATGTGATCGTAGTCATCCATGCAGAAAGAGAAGGATTTTTGGTTCACAAATAGTGAACTATTTATGGAAATGATAAACTTTGAGAATGCATCGTATTCTACTGTAGATGAACTGTTTAACTCTGTCACCTCTAGTGTTTTGAATGTTCTGGATACCGTTGCTCCTGTGAAGGTTAAAATAGTGAAAAATAAGCAGAAGGCGCCGTGGGCTAAAGCAGACTCGGTCAGGGCACAAAAGAGAAAGTGCCGGAGGGCCGAGCGGAAGTGGCGCAAGTCCAACCTCCAGGTAGATTACGAGATCTTCAAAGATAAGTTGTGCGAGTTTAACCGGGTGCTACGTAGTACGAGAGAAAGGTATTTTTCTGAAATGATTGAAGGCTGCAGCAACAATCTGCGTGTTCTGTTCTCAACAGTTAATACATTAACAAACCCCCCTGTTCAGATGCCATTAGAGCTTACTTCCAAACGTAAATGCAATGAGTTTGCTAATTTTTTCAATGACAAGGTTCAAGGCATCAAAAACGCCATTGTCTCCAATCCACAGATAACCATCCAACAGCCAGAAAGGCTCTCTGAGCTAACTCACTTTGCACCTGTAAATGATAAAACTGTCCAAGAGATAATCTCCAGTTTGAGCTCCTCCACATGCAGCTTGGATGTACTACCCACTAGATTTCTGAAGTCTGTTCTGAGCAGTCTGTTACCTTCACTCACACAGATAGTAAACATGTCCCTTCATTCTGGAATATTCCCAAAGGCCCTGAAAACTGCAGTCATCAGGCCCCTGCTAAAAAAGAGCAGTCTCGATGCTACGGTACTTAACAACTATCGTCCCATCTCAAATCTGCCATTTATGGGGAAAGTCCTTGAGAAAGTTGTCTACCTACAGCTTACTAGATTTCTTATAATCAACAACTCATTTGATATGTTTCAGTCCGGCTTTAGACCCCACCACAGCACTGAGACTGCTCTCGTTAAGGTTACAAACAATATCCGGCTGAACACTGACGCAGGCAAAGTCTCAATCTTAATCTTGTTAGATCTAAGTGCTGCCTTTGACACCGTCGACCATGAGATCCTCTTACAGAGACTAGGACTGGGTTGGCGTCACTGGCACCGCCCTAAGTTGGTTTAGGTCTTACCTTGAAGACAGGAAGTACTTTGTGGAGATTGAAAACTGTGTCTCAGATCATATGGCCCTGACCTGTGGAGTACCACAGGGGTCGATCCTGGGACCTCTTCTGTTCAATCTCAACATGCTGCCGTTAGGTCAGTTAATACGCAGAAACAAAGTTTCCTATCATAACTATGCAGACGACACTCAGATCTATGTCTCACTGACTGCAGGAGAACATGGACCAGTGGACTCACTCCTTCACTGTATCCAACAGATCAGTGAGTGGATGCAAAACAACTTCCTTCAGCTAAACGCAGACAAAACTGAAATGATTGTCTTTGGTCCCCAGAAACAAAGAGAGAGCGTCATCTGTCACCTACAGTCTCTCTCCCTAAAACCTTCAAACAAGGTCAGAAATCTAGGGGTAATACTGGACTCAGACTTAAATTTTAATAGCCACATCAAATCAGTAACATCAGCAGCTTTTTACCATCTAAAAAACATTGCCAGGATCAAAAACATAGTGTCTAAAGCAGACCTGGAGATTCTTATCCATGCATTTGTCTCCAGTAGGTTAGACTACTGCAATGGCCTGCTCACAGGTCTGTCCAAACAGGCTGTAAAACAGCTGCAGTACATTCAAAATGCAGCAGCTTGAGTCCTGACTAGAACCAGGAAGTACGACTATATAAGTCCAGTTCTCAGGTCTCTGCACTGGCTTCCTGTGGCTCAGAGAATAGACTTTAAAACAGCTCTGCTTGTGTACAAGTCTCTCCATAGCCTCGCACCAAAATATATTAGTTACATGTTAGTCCCATATAAACCAGCCCGGACTCTGAGGAGCACAGGGACTGGACTCCTGTTAGTGCCCAGAGTCAGAACTAAACATGGGGAGGCTGCTTTTCAGATTCATACTGCTAAAATCTGGAACAGTCTTCCTGAAGATGTGAGACAGGCCTCCTCTCTGACAATGTTTAAAACCAGGTTAAAGACAGTTCTGTTTAACTGTGCATACAACTGAGGGATTTTCTATTTTTATCTTTCTTTTTAATGTTCTGTGATAATTTATGATTTTAATGCTTTCTTGTTTTGTTCAGCACTTTGAATTGCCTTGTGTATGAATTGTGCTATATAAATAAACTTGCCTTGCCTTGCCTTATATTTGGTCTGAAATACGCACACACACACCCAAAAAATGTAATTGTAATATCTGGTGTATTGTCATGTCCACATATAAAATAAATAAATTAGATTACCAGCATATACTAATGAGCCACAGGTGTCATAGATTCTCGTAGATCGCAGACTGGAGTTTTTAACCGGTGGTAGGTGATGATGTTGTGAGTTTAAAGTGGACATACTCTGTTAATGACTTGGAGACAGTCTGACCGCACCACTTCCTCTTTAGCGTCTCCCTGTGTGACCTTCGACCCTGTGTTTGTCCCTTCTCATTCATCACCCCCTGCCCCCCACCCCCCTGTCCGGACCTCCCTGACAGAGATTGATTGATCAGCTTGTTGAATTGTTGATCGGGGGCTATTTTCAAAGCTGTTTCCGTGTGAGACAGAGGAGCGCGACAGAAGCTCTCAACCACTGTCATTAAGCCGCCGCGTAACGTCAGCCGCGGTGGAAGCCGTCTTTGTTTTGGTGAATCCTAGAAAACTAGAGCTGTAAAAGGCATGAGTTAACGTTAGCTATTTCACCTTGTGAGGCGCTCTCAAGCAGGCAGGAAATAGCTGTGTTAGAAAACAAGACGGCTTATTTGTGGCTGAAAAAGATAGTTAAAAGTATGTTTACTATTTCTTTTACAAATCGTTGCTGAGTGTTAATCTCAGGTGTGTATGACTGATGTTTGTGAGGTTTCCATGAAACAATTACTAGTAAATATAATTCCTAAGCTAAAGTTATACTTAAATGTCCTCGTAGGGAAATTTAAATTCAATTTGCTTTTTTTATAGCTCTAAATCACAACAGCAGTTATTTCAGAGGACTTTACAAATCTGTCAATTAACCATCACAGATCAGAGAATCAAACAGTTCAAACAGAGAAAACGCAATGATAAGAACACATAGAGCTATCGGGCAGAGACCAATGTCCATAAATGTCGTTGAATGTTGAATGTCCTGTAACATCACCTCCTGCCTCAGAAAGGACCAACTCTAAAAACCCAGTGAGAGAATAGTGAGAAAACCCGGGGAGGCCCCACATTGAGGGAAGGATTTGTCCTCTGCATTTGACCCATCCTGCAGTTGGGCCTCTTGGCCTCTCTCCGAGCAGTGGTCCCTGCAGAGCAGCTCCCAGGGACTCTAATAATTTGATTAATTTATTTATTTATTTGGGGCCATCTGGGACCATCTCCAGATGTTGATACTCGGCTTGGTCAGACCTACAGAGTCACCGGGAGAACCTGCAAACTCCACTGTCACTCTACTGACCCTGTTCCAACCGGGATTCTAACCTAGGACCTTCTTGCTGAGAAGCGAGAGTGCTAACCACTAATGGCCTGAACATTATGTAGCAGTTATTGAAAAACAGATGTGATCAGTGACTCACAAAATGTGCAGATCAGTAGGACCTATTACATTTTGTTTTAATTATTGCATGCAAGAAAAAAAAAGTTAGGTAACACTTTAGATTAGCCTTCAACAACTATAAAGTTCTAATTAGTGAACCCTAACTCTAACCCACAGGGGAAAGTGTCAGCTAGTAGTTGAATATGGCCATGTAGAATAAGTCCATACATTGTTGGGTATTTACTAATAATGGCTTAATAAATACCAATTAAGAGATAATTAACCATAAATTATTCCCTAAGTAGTACTTAATTTGCTGTTTATTAGTGAGGGCTAAACTAAAGCATTACCAAAAGTTATTTTCAATGTTATGCCTAAATATACGTTGTGTCAAATAGATCTTTATCCATCTTCCTTCAATAGGCCACAACAACAGTCCTTTCCCTGAGCGTTCCCGTAGCTGGGGTAATGTTATATTTTGGATACTGTTATCTACGCCGAGAGTTCAAGTCCCCAGGAAGCGATCGGCCCTATGAAAAACATCCTGCCCCCCGCTGACAGCATCTGCAATAACACCATCCAAGTCTCCAGTGCTTTCACAAAGATACCCTCTCTCCAGATTGCAGATACTTCAGCCTTAACCGTTTCCTCTGTGAGAAGAGACGGCCCATTATCTTCTTGTCAGTTTGAGTTTCCTCGCGGCCTCACACACGCATCCGCACAGGCTTTCAGAGGAGGTAGAGCCGGCTCGTCCAGTGCAGGAACCCGGGATTATTGAGTCAAGCGGCACACTTAGTACAGGAGACAAAAGGGCTGCAGTCAAGTGTCCCGTCCTGCAGCCGCTCGGAGGTGATGAGAGGCGGGATGGGATGCGGAGGAAGTGCCCCTGATTACTGCCTGGGTGTCTTTCAAAAGCATTCTGGGTTTCCAACGCATTATCCTTTTGAGTTCTTATTTTTGGCACAGTACATGTATAATGTATATAATAAGACAGAATAATGTGAGGTTAAGACCTTAAACTACAAGAAAACATGATAGACACGCTAATGATAATAGACACACAACAAGTGGTGACAAACAAGTAAAACAAATGCTCAAATTTGGCTAAAGGCATATTACTTTGAGCACATTCTGACTGCCCTAAAACAAGATTTTCCAATAGGACAAAGCAAAATTATCTTATTTTGAAAAGATACAAGAAATGTCTCCCTTGGAATGAGAAAATAAAGCAACAGTCCTTGAAATACAACTTAATGGCTTTGACCCATTGGCAAATCTTGTTTTGTCAGAATGTGCTCAGATTATGACAAAAAACATTTGATTCAAGCAATTATTTCTCAATATTTTTTCATAATTTTTTGTAGTGTAGATCTCAGGCCAGACCAAAGGCTGATATTTATTTTTCTGATCCGTGTTGGCGTTTCAACAGCTTTGTAAAGTCCTTCAAGATAACTACTATTGTGATTTAGGGCGATACAAGAATACATTTAATTGAATTATAGGGGGATCACCAAAGGTTGTCCACACAACCATCCATTGTAATTGCTACAAAATGACAGATTTTCACAACATATTTCAACAATGTTTCTTTTATTAAACAAAGTTTAATAAAAGAAAACAAAAAAAAATCATATTCAGTATAATTTCATATTGGAGACGTTTTGGTCGGTAAGAGGGTCGCTGTGCTCCAGACTGCATTAGAGTATGTCCAGGTGGATGAAGTGTCTTGCCCAGGGGTACAATGACAGCATAACTGCACTGCACATGTATGGAAATAGTTTTTTGTGCCAAACAACAACACCCATGAAGATTACTCAAAAAAAAACAAATACAAATAAAATAAAGAATTGCTCCCACCAAATGCTATTATCGACAAAGCTTCAGACAAGATGTTTCTACTCTGGTTTTTGCTGGAGGCATATTCCATTTGTAAAAGTCAATCCCATACTTTAACTGTTTCCGAGTTGACAACAATTAGCCTGAGTTTAAAATGTCAGCAGAATCTAAAAGGATTGAAAGGGCCTTTCAAAAGAGACAGGAAACACACGGAGGAATCTAAAGTATGCCTTGTTCTCTTTGAAAGTGTCTGAAGTAGAAAGTGTATAGTAAGAATCAGGATTATCTGTATCTGCACTCTGGGGCATAAGGCTCGACAAACAGACAGGATCAGCTCTATCTCTCACACACTTTATATTATTAATACCCTCTATGAAAAGAATTCTGTTAATCCCTGACTTTATCCAGAATGTGAAAAGATGATTGGATCATAGTGGGACTAGACCATAGACTGTAAAGACCGGACATGCATCTCAATCAGATTATTTTTACTTTTTGGTACTTTCACCTGTCAGGTTTGGTTTTCCACCAGAGAAGAACGAGTTACCATAGCAACACACTGATTAATGTTAGCATTTAGCATTAACCTTTCATCTAACTGTTTTCGCGGTATTTCATTTTAAACCAAACGTGTAATTGAACTGTATTTTACTACTATGACAAGATACAAGATTAGATTTGCCATTTGCAGTAAAACCACATTGGAAAAACTGTACAAGACTAACCCGGTGTGCACCAGTATTACTCCCACAATTATGAATTGACTAGTACTCACAAACCCGTCATTTTGACCGCCTCCAAGATTTTCACCAGTTTTAATAAAAGTTTTAAAATGAAATACAGCTTGGATGAAAGGCTAATGCTAAATGCTAACTGTAAACGGTGTGTTGCTATGGAAACCAGCACTCACTCTTTGCTGGTGGAAAACCAAACTGAACCAGACCCAGTCCAGGACCAGGACCTTGAAAAATGCCGGCTTTAGAATTTTAGGTAGAGCGAGTGCTACTCACATTTCAAAGTTAAAAAGAGGATTTCTTAAAATTCATGACATAGAGATAAACTACAACTAGAAACAGAAAAAGTTATGAAGCTCAATGATGTACTGTACCTGAGCAGAATGATTACACCTACAACAACTAAAATCTCTAGCTTTAGCATAACAAGGAAGCAAGGCCAAAATCTCCAACTTTAGCTTGATGAAGTAGCAAGTTTGTATGAGTTCTAGTGATAATATTGCAATTTCCTTTTTAGGGGCCGGAGCTGCTCAGTAAATACGTGGGGGAGTCGGAGAGAGCTGTCAGAGAGGTGAGCGCATTTATCATCAACAGAAATACTCAGAGTAATAAGTCCGGTGACAGTCTATTTATGCTCTGAATGGATGTTAGTCGTGTTCTTTGATGCATGGGCTTCTTCCTTTCTTCCTGCTCCTGTTGTGATGTCGTGGCACTGTTATTGGCCTTTGTCACACTGGTCTGATTTCCTCCCGTCCATTGTTGGTTCTGTCGGCTGCAGGTGTTTCGGAAAGCCCGCACCGTCGCTCCCTCCATCGTCTTCTTCGACGAGATTGATGCTCTGGCCAGCGAGAGAGGAAGGTATGTAAGGGCTACTCTCGGACACAACGGTCACCTCGAGCAACAACAGCAAGTGTATGGAACAAGTTTGGTGTTTCTAAAAGTCATATTGTTATTCAGCGCCTCTAAACACTTTTTAATAGCATTTGTGGACATGGTCTCTGCCCCTTATGGTCAAAATGGCTTTGTATTTTTATCATGGAATTTCCTGTGTGTGTACTGTTTGATTCTCTGATCTGTGTGGGCGAATCGACAGCTTTGTAAGGTCCTCGGAGATTACTAGGATTAAGATTAAGAGATCCTTTATTCGCCAAGTTACAGACAGTAGGTATGAGGAGCACACAGCACAAGATGAATGAATAATAGCTCTATACTCAAATGAAATAAAATAAAATCTATTAACTCCAGCAAAGAGATCTCTATCCTTAGCATAAAAAGGAATTAAGTCTAAAATCTCGAACTTTATCATGATGAAGAGTTAAGTACAAAAACCCTGACGAAAAAAAACTACTATTGTGATTAATCAGAGACAGATCAGATAATTCATACTAGTTTCATTTGCCATTTGCAGTAAAACCACATTGGAATACATTTGCAAAAGTCCCCAGTGAGCACCAGACAAGAAGTACATAAATATAGCGAGATTAATTAAGTAAGTAATCTTTATTTATATAGCGCCTTTCATAGACCAGAGTCACAAAGCGGTTTACAATTGTGGGCATTTGTACACAGAGTTGGGAGCAGGGTCGTCGGTACAGGAGACACATGCCAAACCTATTGTACATGTTTCTAGTGGTAGGGGCAACCGGAGCACCCAGAGGAAACCTACGCAGACATGGAAACTCCACTCAGACATTGAATTTAACTATGGTTCTTTGCAGCCGAACAGAACAGCCTCCAACTTAACTTTTTTAGGAACCAAAACAATGTATTGTATTAAATAATTTGCAGCTTTTCTTGATTTGTCCCGAGAGACGACTGCACATGCCTCGTCACACGCCACAGAAGCGTCTCCCATTGTCGTCCGTTTTCCAGTCATAAAGTGGTCCTCTGAACGCCCCACAAAGATGCCCTCATGACTCACTGGAACATATCTCTGAGTGTCTGCGTGACTCTAAAGCCACTCTGGGTCATCACACACACAGCGCTGGCTTGTCCCGCGCTCCATGTGACGGCGCTGGGAACATCTGTGGCCCAAAGGAAGCGGGACGGGGCGAAGGCGAGAGGGGTGGGAGGAGGACGCACACCGGACACACACAGAGACCTCATTGTGCCGCGGAGCAGATGGCAGAGGCCAAACATGCACATCGCTTCCTCGATAAAAATAAAGGACGCAGGAAGAAGCTCAGACAGGACAGGAGCTCAAACTACGGACCGCTGTTTAATTCTATTCAATTACATTTATTGGTGTATCGCCCAAAATCACAACTGTAGTTATCTCAGAGGACTTTACAAAACTTTCGAATCGCCAACACAGATCAGAGAATCAAACGGTTAAAGCACAGGAAAGGCAAAGATAACATACGCATAGAGCCGTTGGTCCATAAGGGGCAGAGACCAATATCCATAAACGTTGATAAAATCCATAAAGGTTGTTGAATGTGGAGTGTCCTGGATCTTCACCGCTGTCCTTATCCCTGTTACACAAGCAACATCTACTTGTGTAAGACCAAGGGCAGGTTTCAGCTACCCAAATCCTGACTTGAATTTCAAAAGACTATTATAATTATTTTTTTTTAATTAAAGCTCCAGTACCCAAAAAATCAAACTAGTTTTTTGCTCTTAAAACAGTTTGGTTCTAATACGAGTTTCCTCATGCTTGTATATATTTTGGGAAGGGCCAATGACACATACTAGTTGCCTCACTCAGCCACTCAGCTGTGGCTACAGTAGTAGTTTATCATTACTGTGTTTGGAGTGAAAGAATAATGAAAAAAAGTGCACTTTTGTCAATCACCGTAGGACAATTCAATCCTCTGCATTTGACCCATCCTGATGCCGCTATGGCTTACGTCAGGAGCAGTGGTCGCCGTAGTAACAGCGCCCGGAAACCCATCTCCAGATGTTGATGCTCGGCTTGGTCAGGACTACCGGAGCTGGAGGATTTAACCTAGTGTGCATGTTTTTAGTGGTAGGGGAAACCGGAGCACCTGGAGGAAACAGGAGCAGGCACGGGGAGAACATGCAAAAGTCCATGTGAACTTCACAATGACATGTGAAGTGTGCTTGAGTGTCCAGAAATGCGCTGTATAAAACCAATACGTTATTATTAGTAGAATTATTATCATTTTGGATCCTTGTGGATTTTAACATCTGGGGTGGTTTAGAAAATAACTTTATAAATGTTCAAAGCTTCTACAGCATCAAAATAGTCTGGTAACTAGTTATTTTCTAAGTTAATTATTTGATGGATTACGGTATATTATATCTAAGAAAATAAAGTAATCCTCCAGTCTCTATTCAAACTTTGCTTTTGCTCAGTCGTCATGCAAATGTTCAGAAGCTGATGATAACGCTTTTAGCTATTTGAAAATTGCACTTAGCCAAACTGATCCGGAGGTTATTTAAAGGCCTTCACTTCCTGCTTGGTTTTAATCAATGAAATGGCTCGACTGCAGGAATTCAAAAAGTGTTGACACAAGCAGACAGCCTGAGCACCATATATTTTCTCTTTTTGAAGCACCTGTAAATCTGTCAGCCTATCTGCCACACTTCAAACTGCTGGAATGAAGAGAGGACAGGACGAGCCAAGGAACATTCAGGCGCTGCACTTTGAGCTGTTCTGAGAGACAGTTGGAGAAAAGGCCGCTCCGGCTGCTCTCCCCATGCCAAACTCTACCTCACTCATGTCTCTCTCTGCCTCTCTCTCTGCCCCTCTCCGCCTCTCTGGTCTCTCTCTGCCTCTCTGGTCTCTCTGCCTCTCTGGTCTCTCTGGTCTCTCTGCCTCTCTGGTCTCTCTCTGCCCCTCTTTCTCTCTCTCTGTCTCTCCCTGCCCCACTCTGTCTCTGTCTGGCCTCTCTTTGCCTCTCTCTGGTCTCTCTCTCTGGGGCCTCTCTGGTCTCTCTCTGGTCTCTCTCTGGTCTCTCCCTGGTCTCTCTCTCTGTCTCTCTCTGCCACACTCTGTCTCTCTCCGGTCTCTCTCTGCCTCTCTTTGATCTCTCTCTGTCTCTCTCTCTGCCACACTCTGTCTCTCTCCGGTCTCTCTCTGCCTCTCTTTGATCTCTCTCTGTCTCTCTCTCTGCCACACTCTGTCTCTCTCCGGTCTCTCTCTGCCTCTCTTTGATCTCTCTCTGTCTCTCTCTCTGCCACACTCTGTCTCTCTCCGGTCTCTCTCTGCCTCTCTTTGATCTCTCTCTGTCTCTCTCTCTGCCACACTCTGTCTCTCTCCGGTCTCTCTCTGCCTCTCTTTGATCTCTCTCTGCCTCTCTTTCCGCTCTCTCTTGTCTCTCTGTCTCTCTCTCTCTGACTCTCTCTGCCTCTCTTTCCGCTCTCTCTTGTCTCTCTGTCTCTCTCTCTCTGACTCTCTGATCTCTCTCTCTGCCTTTCTCTGGTCTCTCTCTCAGCCTTTCTCTGATATTTCTCTCTGCCTTTCTCTGGTCTCTCTCTCTCTGCCTGTGTGTGTTGCGGTGACAGAGGGCCTTTGTGTTCCTCCATGGCCTTGTCTGTGCTAATAACGTCTGGCACTTCCGCCGGCGAGCCCTGTCAACAGAGGCCCTGTGTCTGTGTGCCTCAACCCGGAAACAAAGCAAAGAAGAGATGCAAGGTTCAATATTCAATCAATCAATCAATCAAAATGTTTTTATAAACCTAACTCTATAGCACAGTACATATATAATGCAACCCAAAGTGCTTCACATTGACAACATTTAAAAGCAACCATCAGAAAATTAAAAACCTGCAAAACACTAAGCAAAAGCATTCAGAAACAACATGACACAACGACACCTGATGACACCACAGTGGTTAGCACTCTCGCTTCTCAGCAAGGATGTCCTGGGTAGAAATTACAGTCAGAACCAGGCCTTTCTGAGTGAAGTTTGCATGTTCTCCCCATGTCTGCGTAGGTTTCCTCCTGGTGCTCCGGTTTCCCCCACCTCTAAAAACATGCACAATAGGAATGAATGTAAATGAGGGAGTTAAGGAGTGTTGATTGGGGGCTGATGTGTGTTCAGCGACTCGCTTCCGTCATCATGTGTGAAATGATTAGAACTTTAAACATTGGTCTGTAAAATGCGCTATATAAATAAACATTACTTACTACATATTACATGATGATCAGTTATAGTCACGGTTAAAAACAAGCATTTTCAGCCTAGACTTGAATATAACTAGGGTAGCGGCATGTGTCACTCCCTTTAGATGCTTAGGACTAAACATGGAGAGGCAGCGTTTCAGACCTATCTCTGGGCACCAGCAGGAGGCCAGTCCTTATGTTCCTCACTGTCCCAGCAGGAGGCCAGTCCCTATGTACTTCACAGTCCCAGCAGGAGGCCTGTCCCTGTGCATAACTATACTAGATTGGATACTTACACACAAAACACTCATTTTGTTTGCAGCTCGATCTCACACATTGCTTCCTCATCCGGTCTTCTGCACTTTCCATAATCACTCTCGCAATTCAAATAGATGCGATGGTCTTAACTCGATTTTGTTCAGTTTATTTGCCATTTGCAGTAAAACCACTTTGGAATATATGCGCAAGAGTCCCCAGTGTGCACCAGACGAGTACATAAATAAAACAAGATACAAAAGTTCAAGAAACAATTGTCGCTGTCGAATCAATCAATAAAAAAAGTTTCAATACAAGTGCAAGATCATTAAAGTATTTTTTCTTCAGACTGATAACAGCTTGAGATGTCCTGCAATTTAGCAGACAATATCTTCTGCCAGAGGGAAGAAGCTGGAACATGGCTTTTCAACGGGGGGCCAGAAGAGTCATTGATTATTCGAAGAGCTGGATTTTAGAGTCTGGGTTCACAAAGCGTCTACAGAACGGCCGCTCACAGTCCTATAGCCGCTTGTGTTGTGTGTTCCTCCAGCTCCTCTGGGTCCGGTGGCGTGGGTGACCGGGTGCTGGCCCAGCTGCTGACGGAGATGGACGGGATGGAGCAGCTCCGAGACGTAACGGTGCTGGCCGCCACCAACCGACCCGACATGATAGATAAGGTAAAGACGCGTCCCGGGAGCCTTTTGTGTGAGATGAAGTAGCTCTGCCTTTGTCCGGTGTGATGGACGAGGAGAGAGGCTGATCCACTGCCCTCATGTTGGACGTGCGTTCTGTGGAGAAAATACACAAGGAAAGATTATACCATCATTGTTTAAAGCAGGGGTGTCGAACTCATTTTGGTCTGGGGCCGAGCAACAGAAAAATACGAGCTGGTCAGGGAAGCAAAATAAAAATGATGAAGGTATTTTGGCATTACTTATACTTGTCATGAAATGTGTTTATTATTTGGATTTAACCAGAATTGGACCAAATATATATGACTTATAAATCATAATGTATTTGTAAAACTTTTATAAATAGAATTCGATTATTCATAAGAGAATAAATGATTTATAACATGCCATGGTTGTTTATTACCATCAAGGCTGCACGTTAATATGGATCATTAAAAATCCTGTTGGGGGCAACTAAAAATGGTCTTGCGGCCCACCTGTTCATGGAGCTCAATGGAGCAAATCCAGACCTTAGTATGATCTGAAATTTGTACTGAGGTGTGGTACAACCAGGCTAATCCCTATCTAATGTTTGGGCCAAATATACGTTCAAATTAGTTAAAACTCTGCCATTGTTGGTGGTTTTTGTGGGCGACAGTAGCTCAGTTGGTAGAGCATTGGCCTTTGAGCCAGAGGGTCGTGGGTTCGAGCCCGACCTTCACCATCGACTCCTGCTGTCGTTGTGTCCTTGGCAAGACACTTAACCTCTGCTTAATGGATTATGCTTAATATTTCTGATTGTTGAAGCTCAAGATTTGTGTTACATTTGTCGTCTTTGGACACAGTGTCACAGTTGTAATCCGGGTTCGGCAGGATACCTCTTGACTTCAGCCTAAACCCCTCTCGGCCAGGCATACATTTAGCATGAGAATTCTTAATATACACATAACATATTTAGTTATTTTTTCCTTATTGTAAAATATATAAGATCTTTGAAAACATGTGACCTGTCAATAAATGACTGAAGAAATAAACTACTGCTACTGCTACTGCTACTACTTCTACTAATAATAATAATGGTAGTCCAGCTCTTCCTATACCAAAACATGTGGCTGCACTTTTGTGATCCCCAAGCCTCGTGCATTGATGAAGTACTTGATGCACAGGCAACATCCAAAGGTCTCAGATTAGAGCTTTCCATTGACTATTTAAAAACATCTTATCAAAGCTCTTGCGTCCTCCCTGCGTTCATCCGTTTTCTCCCCTTTTATCTCGGTCTCTTCCTCTTCTTATCCACAAGGCTTTCTCTGGTCTTTTATCCAGCCATCTCCGTCCTAATGAAATTTCCTGAGTGCTGATCAAAGCGTGCGTCTGGCCCTTGTCAAAAGGACACGGAAAATAGAGTGTGTCCCGGTGCTCCTCTAAGCCTCATGTCTGTCCGTCTCATACACTTAGACTCAATAATTTAATCAGCCGGAGAATTACAGAACCGCCTTCCTCCATTGAGTCTGAGATTACACTCCTTCTATTGTCGTGCATTCACTTTGGGAGTGTGACTTAAGCAATTTGACAGAATCATACAGTTTGGAGTGTTATATATTTCTAAACTTTGGCAGCTATCCAAGTATATGGAAATGGAAATTATACAAAAGAAGACTGATAAAACACTAGAAGTGGGAAACAGGCGAATATGTGATTCAAATGTTTTTTTCCGAGTATTGCTATATTTTGGCCACAACATATATAACATATTGTGATACAGCAAATTTTGCAATATTGCAATTCATGACTCTCAATCAATCAATTTTTGTTTGTGAAGCACTTTACAACACTCAAGGCGACCAAAGTGCTTCACATAAAATCACATAAAATCCATTGAAACATTCGTGCAATCCAAAAATAAAAGTTATTAAAAAGTTCCACCGCGCTAATGAAAAGTTAAAAGTTCTAATGAATAAATAAAAAAGTTTTTAGCCTCAATTTAAAAAGGCCAAAATCAGCACTTACATATCAGGTAGAAACTTGTTCCAGAGTCATAAACCCACGACTTCCCTCGACCCTGTTCACAACAATCAGAACATTGGATCCTGTCTCACATCCCTCACAGAGTGACAGTAACTGGAGTTAATCGTCCACATGCTCTGAGTATTTATTACTCATGAGTACTGTGTGTTCGGTCATGAGGCTAACGGCTAACAGCTATTGCCCGCTGCCTCTGATGCTAAAGGGTGATGTCTGTGATGGAAGACCGCTGTAAGACCAGGCGCCACAGTGGGACGACTGCGACTGTAAAGTGCCAAACTGTCGGTGTGTCCTTTGGCAAGACTCTTCACCCACGTGTATGACTCAGGTTGACAGCCTCTGTAGTCTGTCCCAGGGCAGCTATGGCTGATTATCTATGGTCTTAATGCCATTTGTGATTGTTTCATTAAGCACTTTGAGGTGCCTCGTGTATGAACTGTGCTTTACAAATAAACTTGCCTTGCCTAGATGGGATGTAAGCATGTTGGCTGCTGAGCCAGTGTGTGGTGAGAGTGTGCAGTGACCCCTGCTCCCTGCGCAGGTCTCATACTGAAGGCCTTATTTGTTTACAGTAATGTGCTGTAGCTTCCTGTGTGCTATCAGCAGCAGTACTTACAGCAGGAGATTGCTCCCAGATGGATCTGGGTTTAGAACCAGAAGTCACCACTGCCTTATCAGATGCTGGTGGGAATGGACAGAGCAGGCTGAAGGTTCACACTAGGTACAACTAACAAGTAATCTTTATTTATATAACGCATTTTTACAGACCAAGTCACTCAAAGCACTTCACAATGTTCAGAAGTCCTATATTGTTTCATTCTCTCCACTCGGTGATGACGGAAGCAAGATGCCGAACACACTGGAGCATCAAAGCCTGGATCAGTGTAAAACCTGCAGTAACATTTACAGATAGAAAAAGCAAGAGAAATAGCCATTGTAAAACACAAAACTGTTTCAGAGCAACTTAGGACTTGCTGCTGTTTCCAGTGCTTTCAAAAGTGGGATGTACAGATTCAGATTTTTAGGCCCAATACCAATATTAATCCATCACAATGATAGGACTGAAAATTGCCTTTATTCCCTAAAAAAACCCACTAACAATTACGTAATAAAATGCGTCAAACTCACACGAATAATTTGTTCACAACATTTTACTTTGACTCTTTCTGTTGGTACAATATAAAGTTAACATTGTGGGTTGATAACGGCCAGTAACTAGTCTTATTACATAATTTTACTTTTTTTTATTATTATTCACAATCAGGATGTCAGCTTTGTCCATGTCAACAACCGTTCCCCACTTCAAAACATTTTCCTGGATCGACTAACATTTTCAAAGTAGTAACGGTGAACCCTAACCCAACCCTTTTCCTACAATCCCTAGTTTCTGCATTAGTATATTGTAATCCTAACCAAGTATAATGCTGAATATTTTCTTCAAATGTCTGTATGTGGAGCAATTAAAATGACATTGAGGAAAGTTGTCTACACTTGAAAATCTGCAGTTTCCCTCTTGTCCCAATCACTCACCCCTGCTGGTCCTAAAGAAAGACCTCTGCTGCAGTGTGACCAGTGACCAGCAGATGGTGCCAAACCTGTCAGAGCATAAGCAATATATGCAAAGCACTTCTTCTTTCCTATGTTTTTAACTGGATTGATTTACTTCTGGGCTTCACATCTGGCTAAATATATCAAACAATACAGACATTTGTCACCTTCTGTTCAAGACTAGCTTACAACTACTTAGCACATTCTAACCAATTACAACCCTATACAAATAGTTATTCAAATCCCATCATTTTTTTGTATTGAATGATTAGATGTTGTCTCTCTTCTCTTTTTGATTTCATGACGTCACCATGTACACAGCAACAAAATGATACAATATGAGATAATAAATGCTTGAATATATATTTTTTTTAAATCTTAATCTGAGCACATTCTGACTATCTTAAGATATATTGAGATATTCATTGTGTCTTTTTAACACAAAATCATTTGGCTTTGTCCCTTTAGCAAATCCTGTTTGAAGGCAGTCAGAACGTGCACAAATTAAGATACATTTAGCCAACTCTGAGAGATTTTTTTGTAGTTATTATACATCACTTTTTGCAGGGTAGCACCCTCGGTTACAAATTTGCCACATAACGTCCATGGATCAAGGTTATGGCAAAATGAGTATGACTTTTAGGTTTATTACAATCAACTAATCTATGTACCCAAGAACCCAAAAAAAGAAAATATGCTACAGTACGTTGCCAAATTTGGTCCTCGAATGCTGCTTTCCAAGAAAAATGTCTGAGTTCCACAGGGTTTACCAGAGAGAATAACATCAGAGCCCCTAGTTTGTTATCGCCATCTTTTTGTTGATAAATTGAGTGCAGTTTGTGAGTTTTCTACAACCAGACAAGAACCATTTCAAGGAAAAAGTCTGAACATCTGCCAGTGCTTTGAGTGTTTTCCAGGCCAGTCCTGATGTTGCTAATTGTAATCACTGTTGCATTCCTGCAGCCTGTAATTAGTGAGCCACTGAGTAAATATTCAGGCATTAGCCCCCTCGCAGCGGCATTCTTTCTGCCCGTGTTTGTGTTGTGGCTTTCCCTTTATGAATGCGAGCTTGTTTTGGTCCAACACTTTCTCCAGTTGCCAAATATGAGCCAGAACCCTTTTCAAATATCTTCGCCTTGGGATTTTCCCCACGGTTTTCAAATGGGCAGCAGGGTATCTGAAGTCGTTAGTTTTCACATTTTATCAATCCAACAATGTCAAGCTGTGATGTGCTTATTTTTTTGTTTTTTGCTTTGAGCACGCACACTGCTAAAAGTGATGAAAATAAAGACTAAAATTGCTCAAATTTTCCAATGGGACCAACAAAATTATCTTGATTAAAAAAGACACAAGAGATGTCTCCATTGGAATGAGAAAATAAAGCAACAGTTCTCGAAACAAGACTAAATGGATAAAAACCACTTGATTCTAACAAT